TTACTGATGACCCCCTACAGAGATGGTAGGCGTCCCTAGGCTCTGGCCTACTGATACTCATAGGCAGTATAGCAGAAATATTAGTTGTAGGTTGCTGCTCCCTGTATTGTTGCTGTGGTCTATGGGTCTGGGGTGTTGGCCTATGGGCAAAGTTTCCCACCAAGAGGACCCCCTCAGCTTAGCAAGTGGAAAAGAATGCATTAGCCAAGTCCACTACATAGTGGTACTGTCCCAATTCCATCATCAAGCAGTTCATCAAATCTGTGCTAGATGGTACAGCTGCAAGTAAAAGGGGTGTTACTTTATGTAGTTCTTGATAGTCCACTGTCATCCACCAAGTCCCACCAGGCTTTCTGACTGGCCACACCAGAGAATTGTAGGGGCTGTGTGTGCCATGCACTAGCTATGCCTCCTCTAACTTCTGGATGGTCTTAGTTATCTCCATATACCCCCGTGGTAAGTCGTATTGACAAGTGGAAGTAACCCATCCGGGTTGTGGCAGAACCTGGGGCTGGTGATGTATATGTCCCTGTAGTACCAGCTTTACTCCATGTACTTGGAGTCTGAATTCTCCGGCCATGGTGTGTAAGTCTAGACTGTGTAAGTCTAGACTGTGCAAAGTGTCCACCCCCAGAATGTATCAGGTATAAGAGACATATATAATGTATAAGCAGGGAGCCAAGCAGCTGATGGTGAGGTGCGGAGGTACAGGTTTGACTTTCACTGACTGGCCTCCATAGTCATCTATGTATGCAGCCTTGCCCAGAAACTTATCTGGGTTCTCATAGATGAGGCTACAATCCATGTTGGTATCTACCAGCTCCAGCGCCCACTGTACATTGTGGGGGACCAGTGGATTGCCAATTTCACATGTGGCCTCTGGTCATCCAGTGTCCCCCCCGCCCAAGCAGGTCATCTTGGCCAGTTCCCTAGTCAAAAGAAAAAGGGTCTATTTCTCTGCCTGTCTGCAAGCAATTCTTGAACTGGAGCATCTGGGCAGAACTGGGTGGAGCAGCATTGTCCTGCCCCCTCTTGAGCATTTTCCAGAATTGCTGCTCCAGGGACAATTGCCTCCACAAAGTTAACAGCACTTCATTGGGTGCTTAATGTGTTATCATGAAAGGGGAACCTAACAATTTTCTCTAGGACAACCCCAGCCAATATCAGATCAATCCAAATCTGCAGGCGGGTCACCTAATAAGTCCCCTTTTTGTCCTCTGGGTTGGCTCCCTGTGGGAGGGATACCTTTCCCTTTATGGCACAGACTCCCTGCTTCTCCTGCTGGCTTTTTGCTTTCCTGAGGGCCGCCACGGCAGTAGTCACCTCATGTAGGTGGTGCCCCATGTATGGAACAAGGACAGCGGCCAGAGAGCTGAGGGCACTCGGGGGTACAGAGCCCAACACAAGATCCCTCATGTGGGAGGTAAAGGGCTCATCATCCGGCCCTCAGGTATTTAAATCAAACATAGCCTGCTGCATAGGCATCTCCTGAATTACCTGCACCAGCTCTGCATATGATTGCCATTTACTCACAGTTTCTGGTATTTCTCCAGCATCCTTCCACACTGTCCGTATGGCTGCCATTAGCCATTCAATCAGGGTATGGGCACCTTGCCCTTGTGTCAGCCACCTGCTTACCTGCCACCGCTGATGGAGGCAGAAGTGAGTTTTGATAGAAGCCAACTTTTCCATCTTGGCTGCAGGACAGGAAATGCTGTCAGCGCCTTCCTCCCAGAGGCAGAGCATCCAGGCAGGCAGCGGCTTCCCTGGATGCTGCTGACACTGTGTGCCTAACTCCCACAACTTAGTGGGGGTGTAGGCACTATAGGAAGTGTGCTCCATCGTGGTAGGGGTCCTTAAGTGGCTGTTCATGCTCTATTTTCTGGTGGACCAAGGGGTGAGCTCGCAATGGGGGTTTTTCTTCCTCCTTGGTGTCAGATCAAGCGGAAGTCTCTGTCCGGGAAGGCGGGCTCGAGCCCACACTTCATCAGTCCCCAGTTATCCTTTCAAGCTGTGTATCCAGGCCTCCAGGTGCTCTGCTTGTGCCTGTGCTGCAGGGACGGGGCATGCACTTCCCGCAGTGCAGTCCGAAACGCCCATCTGACTCTGCCGGCAAAGGCACGCTCCTTCTCGGGGCTGTGAGCTTCCGGGTGCTTCAGCGCTTCCTCCAAGCTTAGGAGAGATCCTTCCACCACCACCCGGGTCTCCACTGCGGCCCATTCCAGCAGCACAGCTGCCTCCCCGTACCATAACTCATGCTGGGACTACACGGCAGATCCGGGATCATCGGGGGCTGAGGACTCACACCTCGGTATCCTGCCAACTACACCAACTGGTAGGTTCCAACCTGAGCTGGGGTTTGAGGGGAGTTGGTGGACAGGTGCGGGGTAGCTGAAAGAACACTCGGGGGTCCGTAGGCAGGTGAGACATGGCTTTATTATGCACCGCCACCCTCATAGTGTCAGTGAAACGTTTATGCACCTCAGAGACAATAGTGGCTCAGAGTCAGATGATGAGCCCACCCATAACACGGTCACAGAGCTGTGATTATATAACGCACGAACCGTGCGCCTTCGCCCCAATCCCACTGTATCATGCTGCACCAGATATTTACCTCGGCCTACGCTTAATTGCCACACAGCCATTCTCCTTACACATCCTCAGAGTCAAATTCCACCCATATTTATGGCATGTGCTTTCAATGCACTGTGTCATTCTGAAACCCAATTCTTAAATTGAGTTTTATCATAATGATTTTTTCTCCCCTTAAATCTAGGCAGATTTTAATTTTCTTTAACAATTTAGTATTGTCCTAACCTTAGCAGGTGAGAGTAGTTTGAGTTGTTCTAAAACTATATTTTCAGCTTAAGAAGCTACCTTTTAGTTGTCAGGATCTGTTATCGTTAAGAGTATCATTTCTATTTTCTGAGATTGTACCTCTCCCTCTTTCTGATACCATTGGCCCCCAGGAGCTTTTTAGAAATCTCTTTTTGTTTTCTAATTCCTTTTTTTCTTTTTTTTTCTTTTCTTTTCTTTTCTTTTTCTTTTTTTTTAAGCAGCAGACAGTTCTGGCTGTGTTCTTTCCATTCTCACTTTCAGAATCTCATTTTCTCCATTGTTGCTGTCTATCCTGTCTTCTACATTTCAGTTTTCTCTTGTGAAATGTTTCTCTTTCTCCAGCTTGATCTCTTCCTTTAGTTTTAATTTTTCCACTTGGAAAATGAGTTTGAAAAACAAATTTGAGTCAGATTTTAGAGGTCCCTGAATGTAAAAGGGCCTTGTAGCTTACTCTAACATGGCTGCACATTAAAATTCCCTGGGGACCTTTTAAAAAAAAGCCAATGCCCAAGGCTCACCTCCAGAGACTCTAAAGGTTGCTATGGGTAAAACCTGGGTATTGGGGTTTTAAAATGTCTCTCCAGGTGGTTCTAATTGTGAAGAGCTGTGAAGGTCTTGAAATTTTACACTATTTGTTAGCTAAAATGTTAGTTTGCCACAGTTTCAAGAGTGCTGGTATAAAATGTGAAACTCCTGAGTCAGAGATTAAAAATGGTTTATTACAGAAATAAAAATAGCCAGAGTATTACCAATTTTTTTGTGCTGGTTCCTTGAGCCCTAATTCCTACTGGGTGATCCAAAGAGGGCCAGGGCCAGATGACACATACTAGGTATAATTGCAGGAGAGTATTCCTGAGTTTACAAGGACCTCAATAATTTATAATGGAAAGTAATACGCCTACCATTTTTTTTTTCAGTTAGAGAAATTAGCTCTATCTTTCAAAGCCTTAAGCAAACCTGCCACTTTCTTTGAAAGGAGACACTATCTTTATCTTCTATATAAGCATCACTGAAAAAAAAATCTGAGAAAGAGGGCAGGTCTTTTGTTTCACAAATGAGCAAAATGTGACAGACCTGTGGGAAATTGATTCCTCATAGAATTGAGACTGCAGCTGTTGAAAGAGGGAATACTGAAATTGTTTTAAGCAGGTGAATAAAAGAAATACTTTAAATAATATGGTTTTTACCAGGAAAGACAGCAAGCAGAATAACAGCTTGGAAGCTATTATGTGATTCTGGCAAAAGTTGAGAAAGGCCCTGGCCAGGTGGTGGTAGAAGACAGGGATTGAGATAAGGGGAAATTTCAAAGAAAAATCGAGGAGCACAGGTGAATAATTAGATGTGAATAGAGGAAGATACTCATGATGAAATAGTTTTTTTGTTTTTTTTTTTTTTGGTGGGAAGATCTGTATCGATATTTTTGATTTCTTTAATAGATATATGGCTATTCAGGTTGTCTATTTCTTTTGGAGTGAATCTTTGTAGTTTATATCATTTAGGGAATTTATCCATTTTATCTATCTTGTTGAAATTACAGACATAAAGTACTTCATAATATTCCCTTGTTATCTACTTAATATCTTTAGAATCTGTAGGAATGTTACTTCTGCCACTCCTGATGATAATATTTGCCACTTCTCTCTTTTTCCTCATTAGTCTACCTTGATGTTTATTAATGTTATTAATCTTCTTTTTAAAAAAATCCCAGCTTTGGTTTCATTAGCTTTTCTCAATCAGTCTTCTACTTTCTATTTTATTTACCTCCTATCTGGATTATTTCCCTTCTTCTGCTTACCTGGTATTTTATTTTCTCTTCTTTTTCTAGTTTCTTAAGGTGGAAACTAAAGTCAATGATTTGAGAAGCTTTTCCCCTAATATGACTGTTTAGGCTATAAATTTCCCTTTAAATACTGCGTTAAATACATTACACAAATTGGAGTAGGCTGTGTTTTTGTTTTCATTTAGTAAAAAATATTTTAAAGTTTCCTTTATGGTATCTTTTGGCCCATAGGGTGTTTAGAAATGTATTATTAGTTTCAAATATTTAAAAGAGTTTCTGGGCCGGCCATGGTGGCTCTTGCCTGTAATTCCAGCACTTTGGGAGGCCAACGCATGCGGATCACTTGAGGTCAGGAGTTCGAGAACAGTCTGGTCAACATGGTGAAACCCTGTCTCTACTAAATACAAAAATTAACCTGGCATGGTGGTGGGCACCTTAATCCCAGCTACTTAGGAGGCTGAGGCAGGAGAATTGCCTGATCCCAGAGGCAGAGGTTGCAGTGAGCTATCATGCCATGCACTGCAGCCTGGGCGACAGAGCAAGGCTCCCTCTCAAAAAAATAAAAGTTTCTGGACATTTCTGTAATCGATTTCCAATTTTATTCTATTGTGGCTATAGAGAGCATGTTTTGCATGATTTGAAATTTTAAAGATCTATTGAGACTTATTTACCCAGACATGTTCTGTTGTAATAAATGCTATGTGTACAGATGAAATAAATAGAATTCTGTCATTATTTGTCTGAGTATTCTGGACATGTGTATTAGTTCAAATTGAAAGTGTTGTTCAAATCTTCTATATTCTTATTGACTTTCTGTTGTACTTAATATCAGTATCAAGAAACTGAAGCTGAAATATTTGACTGTAATTGGATTTGTCTGTTTCTTCTTATTTTGCTATGTGTATTTTTATGTATTCATACATTAAGTGCTTAAAAGCTTACAATTGTTATATTCTCTTAATGAAGTGATTCTTTTAGCACTGTGAAATAAATCTTTTAGTTTCTGGTAATACTTCTTTGCTGTGACATCTGCTTTGTCTGGTATTAACTCTAGCTTTCTTTTGATGTTTCAACATGATATATTTTTCTTCCATTCTTTTATTTTTAACCTATTTCTTTCCTCGTGGAATTTAAACCAGGTTTCCTTTTGACAACTCATATTTAGACCTTCATTCTTTACCTAATTTGCAATTTCTGCCTTTAATTGGAGTGTTTATTTTCAATTAATGTGATTCTTTTTTTTTTTTTTCTTCCCCCACCCTCCCCCGCCCCCGTGAGGCGGAGTTTCGCTCTTTCACCCAGGCTGGAGTGAAATGGCACGATCTCTGTTCACCCCAACCTCCACTCCTGGGGTTTAAGTAATTCTCCTGTCTCAGCCTCCTGAGTAGCTGGGATTATAGGCATCCACCACCATACCCAGTTAATTTTTGTATTATTAGTAGAGGTAGGGTTTTACCACCTTGGCCAGGCTGAATTCCAACTCCTGACCTCAGATGATCCACCTTCCTTCACCTCCCAAGATGCTAGGATTACAGGCATAATGTGATTCTTGAGATGACTGGGTTTAAATATCTCTTTTGCTATGTTTTTATCTTACCTATTCTTTGATTTTTATATCTTCTTATTTCTTAGGATTAGTTGAGAATTTTCATTATTCCTTTTTTTGATGATAACTGTTTTAATGTCCATGTGTACCAATTCTAATATCCATGTCATTTCCAGGCATATTTTTATTGATTTCCCCTTCATTATTGGTTGTATTTTACTGTGTCTTTGCATATGGGATAATTTTTGGTTGGTTACCAGCTTGAGGCAAAGTAGCAACTAAATTAGCTTATATAGTTTTTAAAGTAAATGCAATAACTCATTGTCTAATTCACATATTTGGTTGATCAACTGCAGTTACTAGAGACAGCACAGTATTATTGGGAGAGAATGGGCTTTGGAATAGAAAAATTTTGATTTGAATTCTCATTCTTCTATTTGCCTATTTCCTGAACTATGATAGTCTTTCTGGTACCAGAAGGTCAATAATATCTACTTTCTAAAGTTGTAGTAAAGATTGTATTTAATGCCCTTAGCATCAAAGCAGGAACATAGTAGTTGTTCAATGAATTACATTACTTTTCCTTCTAGGATTTTAAAGAAGTGTAACACGGGAGATTTACCTATACCTAGGATTTCTGTCATTACCATGAGTATTGGAGAGATTACAACTGTAAGAAAAAAAGATCATCACAGCTGGGCATGATGGTTCATGCCTGTAATCCCAGCACTTTGGGAGGCCAACGTGGGTGGATCACAAAGTCAGGAGTTTGAGACCAGCCTGGCCAACCTGGTGAAACTCTGTCTCTACTAAACATACAAAAATTAGCCAGGCATGGTGGCAGGTGCCAGTAATCACAGCTACTCGGGAGGCTGAGGCAGAAGAATTGCTTGAACCTGGGATATGGAGGTTGCAGTGAGCCGAGACTGTGCCATTGCACTCCAGCCTGGGCAACAGAGCGAGACTCCATTGCAAAAAAAAAAAGAAAAGAAAAGAAAGAAGATCATCATGCTACTGTAACTTAATGATGGAGAAAATATGCAACACCGACATAGCAATTACTAGTATTGGGCATAAATGTGAAATTTCTTCTTCTCCTTAACTCAAATTCAGAAGTCTATAGCCACTCTCTTCAAAGCAAAAAACAAAGTAACTAATAAGCCTTCTGATTGAGTTCATTTAAAAAATTTTCTAAAGATATTTTATAAGAAATCTTACTTATATCCTTATATACATTATTTAAAGACACACAGACAAAAGGTTTTAAGGAAAAGGCATCCCTTCTATATACCTGAGAAGTCGAACTGTTCTTATCTTTCCTTTTTATTGATATATTGCTATAGAGGGTTCAGATGTTCATATTTTTATTCTTCCCACTTCATTATTTATGCCTATTCTTCTCTTCTGGGACTTGTTTTGAAAAAAGGTAGAGAAAAAGAATACATTGATTTGGACTATGAATCCTCATTTTTTTGTGTGTAAAACATTTTTAAAACCATCTCTTGATTTATTTCTATGTCAAGCTTCCAATAAATGCTTTGCAGAAAACCATGTGCACTTTAGAGCACTTAAATTAGTGTTTTGGTTTTCAGTGAGGAAGAGCAAAATTCATGTGGGTTGTTGCTGGAACAAGATGTACATTTGAGACTCTGGAAATCTACTGTGATTTTTATCCCATTTTCCCCCCTGCCTTTTTGTAGCTATGACTATCATGATTAGAAAATTGTATTTGTGTTGTTTGTTTAATTTATCTTTTTTAAAAATTATTACTATAAGTTCTGTGATACATATGCAGAATGTGCAGGTTTAATACATAAGTATACATGTGCCATGGAGGTTTGCTGCACCAGTCAACCTTTCATCTACATTAGATATTTCTCCTAATGCTATCCCTTCCCTAGGCCCCCACCCCCTGATAGGCCCCAGTGTGTGATGTTCCCCTCCTTGTGTCCATGTGTTCTTGTTATTCAACTCCTACTTATGAACAAGAACATGTGGTGTTTTGTTTTCTGTTCCTGTGTTAGTTTGCTGAGAATGATGGTTTCCAGCTTCATCCATGTCCCTGGAAAGGACATGAACTCATCCCTTTTTGTGGCTGAATAGTATTCCATAGTATATATGTGCCACATTTTCTTTATGCAGTCTAAAATTGATGAGCATTTGGGTTGGTTCCAAGTCTTTGCTATTGTGAACAGGGTCACAATAAACATATGTGTGTGTGTGTCTTTATAGGAGAATGATTTATAATTTTTTGGGTGTATACCCAGTAATGGGATTGTTGGGTCAAATAGTATTTCTAGTTCTAGATCCTTAAGGAACCACCACACAGTCCTCCACAATGGTTAAATTAATTTACACTCCCATCAACAGTGTAAAAGTGTTACTCTTTCTCCACATCCTCTCCAGCATCTGTTGTCTCCAGTTTTTTTAGTGATTGCCATTCTAACTGGCCTGAGGTGGTATGTCATTGTGGTTTTGATTTGCATTTCTCTAATGACCAGTGATGATGAACTTTTCTTCATATGTTCGCTGGCTGCATAAATGTCTTCTTTTGAAAAGTGTCTGTTCATATCCTTTACCTGCTTTTTGATGGGGTTTGTTTTTTTTTCTTTTAAATTTATTTAAGTTTTTAATAGATTCTGGATATTAGCCCTTTCTCAGATGGATAGATTGCAAAAATTGTCTCCCATTCTGTAGGTTGCCTGTTCACTCTGATGATAGTTTCTTTTGCTGTACCGAAGCTCTTTAGTTTAATTAGATCCCATTTGTCAATTTGGCTTTTAGTGAATTGCTTCAATAGCTATTATATTTCACCCTAGGACTATCTGAATTTTACAGGTGAAAACAAATTAGCTGCATCTTGTAAATGAAGCTTAGTAAGAGGATACGAATGATAGAATGCTATATATGCTAATGATTAAAGCACAGTTATTGTTAGATTTGGTCTCAGCATTGGAACCACAGCTTAGGAATACAGAAGTTTTTGTGATAAACAAAACCTTAAACTGGAAGGAATAACATTTGGCATCTAGTCTTAAATCTGCCACAAATTTGCTTTATGATTTTGATTAGTTAATTAATCTACCTGGGCTCAGTTTCATCAGCTATTACATTATTGTGTGCTATATAAATTTTTTCTTCTTTAATTTTATGATTTTGGTTGACTCCAAAGGTCATTAGAGTCCAGAAGCACCCCTGAATACAAAAGATTTATTTTGAAATGATGTTAGAAATTAGGATGAAAAACAACAGTCAGGGCACATTAAATATTAAAGTCAGATATTTTTGCAGGACTTGAGGAAACATATGCCCAAGGACAAGGTAGATCAGAGAGTTCCAACTCTGAGAAGTCTGGCCTTAGGGCACTGACATAAGCCCTCAGTATAGGGCAAGTGAAGAGACAGAGAAATTTAAGGCACTAGCTCCAAGTAAACTTCAGTAGCTGAGGTAACACCCTGCCTCACGCAATCCCTTATACAATTTTTGTTCAGGCAGTTACAAATTTCGATTGTGTCTGGCCTTGTAATTGAAAGGAGAAATAGAAAGCAGGATTGCATAGCGAACATAAATTGAGTCTAGGTATAGAAGAAGCCATGTTATTCCTTATATTATGTAAATCCTAATATGTAAATCAAACCAGCTTCTTCTTTCATTTAGAGTTTTTAATGAAAATTGCTTTCTTCTGTGTTGTTGAATTGGGGCACAGCTTGATATCTAAGGTCATATAGTGTGAAACATAAGTTAAATCACTAATTGTCCTGGTGGAAATAACTTAATTCTCAAAAAAGCACTGTCAAGTCACATCAGTGTTTTGAATCTCCATGAATCTGAAGCTAGGAATATAAGCTAGAAATCTGGCATCATTATAAAAAGTGAGAGTTGATTTTCAGAGCTTTTTCCTCTAAATCTAGAAGTATGTAAGAGAGAACAGACAATACAGGTATGATTTTTATAAATGAAAAAGTGAAAGGGAACAATCCAGCTCCTAAGCAAAAAGATTAATTGAGGTACCTATTGGCTATGGTGGGTCCACTTGAAGATCATGCGATCCTCCCATCTGCTGAACTCACCTTTCCTTTTCTCTGAAGTCCCTCTTGCATTTCGTATTTCTTTCAGGCATCCAAACTTAAAACTCAAAACTTATCCTTAACTTCTTCCTCTCTCTGGCATTTTGTAGCCAGGAAGGTACTAAGTCCTGTGTATTCTCCGTCTAAAATGTATCTAGCATTGAACCTCTTATTTCATGCCAGTTGTCATCCTAAGCAGCTCTCCACCCACACTCCTGGGCTACCACTGCTTTCCTAAGTTGTTCTCATCATACTCTAATTCAGTGGTCACTTCTTTAAATCCCTTTATTAATTTTCCAACTCTTTATGTCTTAAAAAGTTCTAATGATAAAATAAACTGCATTTATGAGATTTTGTTAGTTTATATTTTCTAAATCCAAGATCTATGATGTGTAACTGCAATAAAATTCTTGAATGACATGCAATAATCAGCATAACCATGTCACGTGTAAGGCTTTTTTAATAGCCTGTCTTATCCTTCCTTTATCAACTAGGCATTTTGCAGCTACAGGCTGCACGCCACTGTTCTAATTCATTTGGGTGAAATACCAGTTCCATTATTTTTAAGGATACTATATAGTTTATTTTTCAAACTGGATCACTTTGAACCATAAAAAGGGGTACTTATAATGATTATAATTATGGCTGAACAGTGGTGTAAACTGGAACTGTTCTAGGCAAAGTGGGAAATGTGATAACCTTAGTCATCCACTTCTTACAACCTCAGGGCCTTCTACCACCTACAAATAGAACAAAAAAAAAAAACCTTTTTTTTTTAGCTTGACATTTAGGAAATTCATGTTAGACTCTTTGCCTCTCTTTAATGGGTGTACTCACTGATCACCTCGCCTATTTGCTTAAATGTTTCTATACTTGCACATTTGTTTATGGTACCCTGTCTCTTTTCCTTTTACATTGTTTTATGCCAGTTTACCTTTTTAACCCCTATACAACTTTTAAAGTAGAGTTTATCCCCAATATTTCTCATAAAGCTCCCCTACTTTAATCTACTATTAAGTATTCTTTTCTTTGAAGTCTTAAGTACTGGTTGATCAGTTAACCCCTACATGTTATCTTTGTAACAGGTTTTTGGGCCTAATTTTCTGATCTCAAGTGGATTTCAGATTCCCAAAGGCATAGATTTTATCTTAGACTTCTGTTTGGGACTTTAGGTTTCCCTTTTACTCTTTCTTCCCACTCTCATTGTCTAGACACTGGTTCACCTATGAGGAACTCTGGAAGTGATGTCAAAGGAAGGGAGATTCCAAGACCTTTGACTAGAAGAGGAAATATTTGTCTGAAATTAGAAATGTGGAGGCTAGAGAGCTAAACAAAGCTATAAACCCAGTGGATGCACCAATGGCTAACAGAAGGGGAGTTGGGGCAAAGCGTCATCAAAGACAGGCCATGGAGAAGAGAATAAGTAGCCTGGGAACAAATCATGGGAGAATTTGAGAGGCATAGAAGCAGTCAAGTTCTGAGCATTGTCTAGCTCTGGAAGCTTTTTGTGCAACATGACCCACAGTCTAGCAGTTTTGACATCATCTAGGAACTTATTAGAAATGCAGATCCTTAGGCCTCATTCTTCATATTACAAGATCTCTAGGTGATTCTTTTGGGAAGCACTGGCCTAGAGCATCAGCTTATCTTTGTGTACAGATTTTATAGTTGAGCTGGGACCTGGCACGTAAATGGATCTTTCTGAGTTGAATATTCAAATGTGATAATCAGGATATCCAATAATAAATATGAGTTGATTAAACATTGGGTTGAGAATCTATTTTTATTTCCTCATTGGTTTTTTAGTGCTTGAAATGATAGTGTACATCTTGTATAGACTTTCAACAAAAGTAGGGATCGAGGAGATTTGAGCTCAATATGTGTTAGAATAATATTTTTCAGATAACAAACTGTGACTTAATAAGAGTTGGGTGGAGAATAACTAAAATAATCTAATTACGGAGGTACTTGAGTTTTTAAGTGTCTTTTCATTTTGTTAGGATCTGTAACTTTTTTGACCTTAAATCTATTCTTGCCAGTTTTAAGTGCTTCAGGATAGGAAAACAGTTGGCCATCTGGTTTTACTAAACACTTTCTCATGTACAAGGACAAGATGTATTACTTGGAGGAGCTAAGAAGTGCACTGTTGAAAGAATTTAGGACACTTCTCTGTACAAACTATTTCTCCAGGATGAAGAGCTTGGCCTGTATCAAAAATTAAAAGAATTTTTGTTGGAAATACTTTTGACTTTTTCTTCATATGCTTCAGCTATCTGTAATGGTACATAAATAAGCATATAATTAACTACAGAAAGTATCTCACAGTGTGAGCTACACATAGCCTCTCATCTACCCTTCCCTTTATGGAAGAGCAAAGCTTGCTATCTAAATTTGTTAAGTAGACCCTGTTTTACTATTCATGTTATTTTCCTTATTAAATTAAGGATGACTTTGGCTAAATTCTGTTACTTAAGAAAAAATTAAATCGCATCTTGAAAAGGCTAATGGTAAATTTCTGATAAAACATTAACTGTATTGTTCTGTAGGAAAAAAGGCAACATAAAACACACTGCACAAAATTCAGTGTATTGTGCTAAACATAGTTTTGCTATAAACATAAGAGACAATAAAAATAAAAGCCTTTCAACATTACTAACTCTATACTTAAGTCTCTTTTCCTTTCTCCATGATTTGGTCTAAATAGTCTCCACTAGACATTATTTTTTCCCAGTGATTCTTGTCATAGAATGCTTTGATTACAGAGAATAGCAGCAGAAAAAATGACAAAAATATAGCATCAAACTACCAATTTATATCTTGGAGAATAGACTAAAACAGATGTCAGCTGGCATATACACTTGTTCAGCCACAGACAGGATTACTCAGCAAATACTTAGTAGATAGTGTTTCTTGATTTTTCCATTTGATCCAATTGTTTGTTTAACCAATAATTTGCTCTGAGGCAGCATCATGCAGTCGTTTATCAAAATATTGACCATTGTATGATATTAGCCAGTTGCTAAATTTTAAATATAATTTAACAAGAGAAGCCGGATATACAAACTGGGGATCAACAGAACTAGTGAAAACAGTAGCAACAATGGGCTCAGATTCACTGATTGGATATGTATTTACAGAGAATTTGTGACTTCCAGAATTCCTTAGGATTCTCTTTAGAGAACCTATTTTAAGTCAGGGATAATGATACAGAGAGGTTTTTTATAAAACCAAACAACTTCTTGTTGTGCATAGTACAGTTTGACACTTGTGTGCAGAGTGGAATTGCTGGCATTGTGTGTACCTCTCCATCCCTGCCATGACACCAATGTGGCCACCCCAACTGCTCCTCGGGCTCCTTGTTCTGTGTTAGGCAGTCCTCAAAGATATTGAGACCCTTACTATACAATGTCAGTGGGCCTGTCTTGAGTTGGTCCTAAGCCATGTAGGGTAAAGGGATGCATATTCCTTGCATAAATGGGACTATTCTTCTTATGTCACCCAGGGGTCTCTTGCCTATCCTCCCTGAAGGGGTGATGTGTGGAGGGAGGAGTTATAAGATGTGTTATCCTCTTTTACGCTATAAAATTCTGAACAATAAATTTCCCATGACCTAAGAAAAGAATTATTGCTTACATTTCCTGCATGCTCTTGGTAAGACACATTTGTGGTCATCATCATTCTTTGGGAAAAATATTAGCAACCTTTGAAAGAATTATTGGAAGCAAATAACCACAGCAGCATGAGGTATAATTCAGCATTGTGAGTAATAATTTAACTATATTAGGTAACTGTTATTAAGGAAGCTGCAGAAGCAAGAAGACATGTGTTGTTTTCATACAAATGGGGTCTGAAAACCATAGCCTTGTGATAATAGAGTCTTTCAGTGAGAAATATAAAATTAGAACGTTTTGACAATAAAGAACACATAGCTGTGGTTCTGAGACCTTAACAGGAAGAGATGGCACATGGATATTATGAAGGATCTTCCCACGAACTTATTGGACAATAAACAGCTCAGTACCTGTTATTCCAAATCTTTATCAAAAAGTCACTAATCTTTGTAGAGACCCACGAATTTTGTAGCATACAATTTATGTAGGTAGGGGTTTTGCAAAAATATTTTCCCAAGGCCTTGCACATCTCAGAGGGGTCCCTGATTGCATAAACACTTTCAGTCACAATTCAGTCACAAACTATATCGCTTTGATATAGTTCATTTTAACAACGAGGAGTAAGTGAGGAACAAAACGAAAATGGAATGGTAAACATTGCTAAATTTCCTCTATGGTGATTTTGTTTTTGTTTTTGTTTTTTAGATTCAGCTTGCATGTGCAGGTTTGTTACACAGGTCAGTCATGTAATGGTGGGGTTTGGGCTTCTAGCAAACCCATCACCTAGATTGTAAACATAGTACCCAATAGTAGATTTTTAACACTTTCCCCCCTCCATCGTGTCCCCTTTTGGAGTTATGTCCATGTGAATGCACTGTTATGTCCCATTGTTATGTTCATGTGTACCCACTTATGAGAACATGCAGCATTTGATTTTCTATTTTTGCATTAATTCACTTACAATAATGGACTCCAGCTGCGTCTATGTTGTTGCAAAGGACATGATTTCATTCTCTTTTGTGGCTGCATAGTATTCCATTGTGCATGTATACTACATTTTCTTTATCCAATCTACCATTGACGAGCACTTGTCTATGGCATTTTTTGATGAGAGTTGGGCTTTGGAATAAGCAGAGTTGGAACTTGAAGTGAAGACATATGGGAGTGGAGCCTTAGCTATGCCATTTTTGTGGAATCCCTGGCAAGTCTCTTACTACAGCAAGTCAGTTACTTCATCTCCTCAGAAAATTGTATATAAAGATGGAATAGAATAATTGTGTAAGTAATTAGCACATTTAGTACATTGTAAGAGTTCTATTTTGGTGAGATATTTTCATATATTATTGTTAAATGGATAGGGCAAATGCACCAAAATTGAATTCTTAAGATAATAGTATAATTAATCAATAATCTATTTTTTTATTTCTTGCCAGAAAACTAGATATTTAATATAACTTCAGTTTATGCCCTGAAAAAATGAAATATGAATAGGGTTGGTGGCTAATTTTCAGTAAGTTTATAATTGCTATTATATTTTATTTAATCTTTTACCCTGTGGCATCTCTAGGGTTGACATATTGGTAAAATTTCCAGAGTTATCAGGTGATTTTCCTGAACTGTAGGTAGTGATTCTGAGGGACAGTTAGTGAAAATGTAGAAAGAGGCTTTCTGTCTTTGTTACATCAAAATATTTGAGACTTATTTGAATAAAATCAACTGAATTATACACTCACTTTCATTAAATTCATGTTGCTTGAAATGGATATTTGCCTTTTTTAAGGGGTTGAACAACATCAGAAGCCCCTTCTTATATTCCTGGAATTGGCTGCATTATTGGTCCTGGTGAGAGACAGAGCCTGTCATGCATAATAGAGACAGAAAATGCTTGGTATTTGTTTTCCCAAGGTACTTCTCATCAAGGATGTGGGCACATGACTTTCTTTAAATAATTAGATGAAAACATTTTCTTCCAACTTTAAATAAAAATCGACTGATTCAAAGGAGCAGGTCCTGGAGAAAATCCATTTTGGTGCTGAGTAGTGAGAGCAGAAGTGGCAGTAATACTGAGTTTCTCGAGACAGCTGTGGCTTTCAACGTTTAGTGCCAGAAGCAATGGCACAGCAACCCACGATATACAGCATTTAGTGGTGAAAGCAGTGGTGATTTCTCTGGATGGGTTTTGTGGGTTGGCCATGCTTTTTTGCCCTCATTTCCACCTGTTCTCCAATTCAGAGCACTGTGAGCAACCCCAGTAACTTCTTAATCATTTCTCTTTTTCCTAAAACCAGGTTGGTATCTTTTATGTGCAGCTTTGAAACCTGACGTGCGCCTCGTGCTCCATCTGTTCTACTTTATTGCTATGTTGGAGCCCTTCCCTGATCTTCTTTCCCTTTAAGGTCTCCCTGATGCTTTTCTTATCCTGATCCCTCCCACCCCTTCCCTCAATCCTCACTCCTAGTGGGAGATGGAAGACACCGATATGCCTCGTGATCCCATATCTTACATTCAGAACTTGCCCTGATGTGACCAGAAAGCAACTTTCTCACATACAGGTTATTGAATGATGCATAAATAAGACACCACTGTATCTGAACAGATGAAACTCATCCACAGGTTTTGTGATCTTATATTTCACTTATATTCTTTTTTACATGACATTAGCAATTACATTACTTGCTATGCCACCAAATGCCTGCATTTATTTTAAGGTAATTTCCTCGGTTGAACTGTTGCATGACATAGCTTCAAACGTTTAAAGACATGAAATCCCAGAAGGCTTTACTTTTATTGACATTAGCCCCTCCCTCCAATCTCTGGGAGGTTAAAAATTGTTCATATAAGAGCCCTGTCAAATTCCTGATGGTTTCCATTTTAGCACTTGTACTGGTTTCTTCCAACCAAAATTCCAACTAATTTAGAATTTATGGAAATGTTATCATGCTGACATTGAAACTTATTTGATGGTAAATGCGGCAAAGCTTTCTTTAAATACCACAAGGAGAAAAATTCTAACCAAAAATCATTTTATGGATTTTTAATTCTTTTTTTAAAGCAATAATTTTTGAACACTAAAAACAAAAGATCACACTAAAAATCAACTCCAGGCAATTAGTTTGAGCAGTGAATCTTGTTCTAAAACCAGCAAAACAATTTTGAGTGCTTTAAAAAAATCCAGTTATTGACTTAGTACAATAAAGTATATTTTAGCATCATACGTACAAATCACCAACTTCTACATAAAATGAGATCCCTTGTAGTATCTATACAAATGAGCTTGAAAATAAAGTAGCAACTCAGAGAGGGACAACAGTTTTGCCCAAATATTTTCTGTTTTTCAAAAAGAAAGTCATATAGACCATTAGAGTTGGCTCTTTAGTTGTTCAGTGAAAAACATGGTAAGAAGGATGTATTTTTCTATTGCCGCTATAACAAATTATCACACATTTATTGGCTTAAAACACAAATGTATTATCTTACAGTTCTGAAGATTAGAAATCTGACATCAATTGCACTGTGCTGAAATCAAGATGTCAGCAGGGCTACATTGTTTTTTTTTGGAAGGCCTAGAAGCAGATGGATTTATTCTTTCTTTTTTCAGCTTTGAGAAGCTCCTGGCCCCCATTCTCTATCTGTGAAGCCAGCAGTACTGTATCTTTGCCACCATTCCTCAAGAATCACGTCTCTTTGTAACTCTGAATCCCTCTTCCACTTAAAAAAGTATTTTTGTTGGCCGAGTGAGGTGGCTCATGCCTGTAACCCCAGCACTTTGGGAGGCCAAGTTGGGTGGATCACGAGGTCAGGAGTTCGAGATCAGCCTGGCCAAGATGGTGAAACCCTGTCTCTACTAAAAAATACAAAAATTAGCCAGGTGCGGTGGCAGGTGCCTGCAATCCCAGCTGCTTGGGAGGCTGAGGCAGGAGAATCGCTTGAACCTGGGAGGTGGAGGTTGCAGTGAGCCGAGATTGCACCACTGCAGTCTAGCCTGAGCGACAGAGCAAGACTCCGTCTCAAGAGAAAAATAAAAAGTATTCTTGTGATTACATTGGACCCACCCGGATAATTCAGCATACTTTAGCTATTCATGATCAGTTAGTTAGAAACCTTAATTCCATCTGAAGCTTAGTTTCCTTTTGCCGTGTACTCTAATGTATTCATACGTTCCAGAGCTTAGGATATAGACACCTTTGGGGCAGGGCATATTTATGCCTATAAGAGAAGAAGGTAATAATATGGTGTTAGATAAAACAGGTGGAAATGCTAGCACTACATGAAGAATGCTTCTTTGGGTATCCCTAGGGACAATATGAGGATGTCCCAGGCCCTGCTGCACAAAGTGTGGGCCATTTTTCAGAGCATGGGCCACAGGAACCCAGGAACTTATTAGAAAGGTAGAATGTTGGGTCCTACCACAGACCTACTGATGTGGGATCTGCAGTTTAACAAAATCTTCAGGTGAGATTCACATGGATATTGAAGTATGAAGAAGGGCTCTATTCGCTTTCTTCAACCAGAGAAGAAATTACACCTTCAATTGTTTCTGCTGCTGTTACTGGATTACCACTATGTTTTCATGTGAGGAAATTGTATGGTAACTGAAAGAAACTTGAAAACCTCAGCAATGCAAGATGTAGCAGCATCCTCCTCTCAGCCATTTCACACTTGCTGCAAGGCCATGTCTTCATTTGGTTTTAGTGACCTTCTGATTCTAATAAAAAATTGTAATTTTCTTGTTACTTTTTGGGAAGAGAGGAAAAACGACACTACGGACAGTGAACTGTTAAACTTCCAGAAGATGTAAAGAGGGGCCTTGGGAACAACAGACTTGAAAACATAATCTTAATCTCCAGCAAAATTGTAGAATGGAGTAATAAAAATACTTGAGCACTTAGAAGAATTTTGGAGAACTGTGACATCAAAAGGCTTCAAAATGAGTTCTCTGAGAACTAAGCATAATAAACTCTATATACTTTTATAATATTATTAATATAGTAAATCAGGAAAATATGCATATAATGTATCTTAACTTGAGCAAAGCACTTGATATGCATGGTAAAGCACTGAATATGATTTGTGAATAAACTGATAAAATGTATGGTGAATGAGAGAACTGATCAATTCTGATCTGGTTAAAAACATTGTACCCAAGGTGTGTTGCATGATAAGTTACTGGAGTAGAGAGGTGGAAAGCTCGCTATAGGTTCTTGTCCTTCACTCAGTGCTTCTTGTTTTCATAAAAGCAATTTTAAAAAATGAAATAACGTTTTTCCCCCTAACTTTCAGACAAGTTTCAAGAGATAGCAAATGAAATAAAATATGGAAAGCAGAATTTAGAACTATCATTCTTAAAAGTAATTAGGATTACTTTGTAATCTGTGATTAAAGTCCTGGTGACTGTTACCAGTGGTGGAGGTAAATTTCTCTATGTATCAGCAGACAGGGGTAGTGATCTGCTTGTGGAAAAACAAAGAAGAGATGAGGCTGGGCGTGGTGGCTCATGCCTATAATCCCAACACTTTGGAAGTCTGGGGTGGGTGGATCACCTGGGGTCAGGAGTTCGAGACCAGCCTGTCCAACTTGGTGAAACCCCATCTCTACTAAAAACACAAAAATTAGCCAAATGGGGTGGCACATGCCTGCAGTCGCAGTTACTCAGGAGGCTGAGGCAGGAGAACCGCTTGAACTTAGGAGGCGGAGGTTGTAGTGAGCCAAGATGGTGCTGCTCCACTCCAGCCTGGGTGGCAGACTGAGACTGTCTCGAAAAAAAAAAAAAAAAAAAAAAAAAAAGAGGAGCTGAAATTTTAGCTGAGTGCATATTTTCCATGAGCTAATAGTGTAGTGTGGTTACATGAAGGCAAGAGATAAGACTTTCTTGATTTTGAATCCCCAAAGATCAGCCTAAAACCCAGAATTTAGTAAGTACTTGGTAAATGTTTGCTTAATGAATAATGCTTGAATTATGTAAAATATATAATTATGTCAGGTTGTAGTAATAAAAGTCTAAAGTTTAAGATGGTTCATACCCAAAATATTACATTTGCTTCTGGTTGCAATATTTTTAAAGTTACATTGACAAAATGCTATGTAGGAGAAAAGACTGAAAACTCTGTTGGGAAAAAACTGGAAACTGTGTCTTCTGGGGAATGTTATAGTGAAATAAAGAAGTAAAAGGGAACGTGTAAAATAGACATTGTTTTAAAACCCTTATGCAATCTTAAGGACAGGCTTGTTGTTCTAATAGACTGATACAGAGAAAATGTAGGAAAGCTACAAAGTGATAAATTGTATTTTAACATAAGCATTTTCTGACCAGCAGGAATGTCTAATGATGAAATGGACTTCCCTTGGTGAGGATACATTTCTGTTGTGAGAGACTAAATGACCATTGGTCAGGGATGCTGGGGAAAGCAGTCTTTATGGCATAATGGAATTCCTTAAAGAAACTCAAGCATGTTAGGGCCTAGGCAGGACATTTTTTGTTTTCAATCTGTTATATTATTTAGAAAGTATTAATTGACTTGGCATTTCTTAAATTCTGTGGAGTTAATATCGCTTTAGTCTGCTTTTGTCAAGTTGAATGAGACAAAGTGACAGAAGATGAAAAAACTAGCACAAGAGATACTGGAAAAAATAGGACTTTTCAAGACATTTAGAAGATTCAGAAATTTATAGTTAACTCCTAGTTGCTAAGTTTCTATGCAATACAATTATCTTATTGATTGCTCTTTTACAGTGAATAAGTAAAACAACCTTAAAGATACTAATGAAGCAGAATTGCGTTTGAATTTTCTTTAATTTTTAATAATTCCAGTAGATTATATTGTTGGAAAATATTTTGCTCTGTCACTCACTCCTATCTGTTATTTTTAGGAACAAAAATTTTGTGATGACAAATAAGATATGTCATCACAAATATGGGGACACAGAACTTATAATAAAAATTGATATTTTAAATTTACAAATAGGTGAATTATTGCCATTAGAGATGTTATACTGTTATTCAAAGACATAGCTTTACTTTTGATGTGATGCGATAATGTAAACATTACCTCTTGAATTGGATGATTTTCTAAGGGAGATGTGTGGATTCAGAAAAAGGGTCTGACAGGTATGATAGTTCATGTTTTGAGACATTCAAAGAGTGAAGGAAATGGATACTATAGCTTCGTGACAGACAACATCTCTTGAAAGGAAGCGGATGAAACAGGCTCCATGTGTGTTTTAGGAACATTGCAGTTTCTAATGACCTTCATATTGAATCAAAGTTTGTATCACAATTAAACAAAGTTCTGAAAAAGTTACCAAATTGCTGCAAAATGAAGCAAAACTAAACAAAAACACTTGAATTGATGTTTGTTATAACTCCCTCCACCCCCAATAGTCCCTAATAAATTTGAGGACAAAGCCAGTGATCTGCTTAAACAAAGCGATTGTTCTGTGCATGACAATGTGAAATATTAGACTTTTCTGTCTAATTTTTCCCATATGTTGGACATACTAAGTTGATTGTTCAGAACACTTTGATGGCGAAAAAAAGGCAATGCAGTAAAAACGAGTAATGATTCTTGTAAATTCATTATAATCCTTAATCAATCTCCCACTATGATATGCTGTTCTTAGTTATTAACACTGCTAGCTCTCTAAGGTAGGATCTCCAAACCGTGTATGTGTGTGTTTGTGTGTGTATTAAAACTGAATATATATATATTCAGTCCTCATTTTGGAGCACATGTGAAAGAGTCTCTCAAGCATATATATAATTTCTGCAGGAGCAGAAGTCCTGGGTTATTGGATATGCACAAGTTCTGCTTTACCATGTAATGCCAAACTATTTTCCAAATTGTTCCAATTTCCCCTCTTCCTCATGTTATGTAAGTGTTACAGTTGATCCTTATCCTCTCCAACATTTGATATTATTAGAATTCTTAATTTTTGCCATTTGAATTGTCATAAATATTTAATCATAAATGTGAACATTCATAGACATTTTTTAAACAAAAAGAGATGTTAATAAAATGACAAGGAAAAACTGATGCTTATTAATCCAACAAATACTAAGTGCCTTCTGGGTGCCTAGCATGTGGTATATAAATGTGTGTGTATAAAGAAAAGATATTAAGAAATGTTTCCATTCTAAGGAGATTACAATATACATTAAACTGAGGCATTCAAATAATAGTACCAGACAGTGATATCATTTTTCAGTTTTTCCTCTTTTCTCCCTCACAGTCTTTGTTTCTATGTCTTAGGATATACCAAGAAAGAAACCTAAGTGCTTTCTACTTTCAAAATGACCTTCTGAGACAGACAGAATCTATCTATTCTGTTTTCTCCCAGCCATTTATTCTATCAGCTTTCACCCGGACTGCCACCTTAATCTCCTGTTGCAGAGTGACCCAGACCTGAATGTGGGCAGGGACAGGAAAATGACTGAGGCTTTTTTTTTTTTTTTTTTTTTTTGAATGTGTGTGAAAAGATGTAGAAAAGTAGAAGACTGGGGAAGGCTTGGTTTGAACTATCCTGTTCAGGGCCTTAAGTGTCAGATTGGAAGAGTTTAAATTTCTATAGACAACAGAGAGCATCTAAAGGATTAAAAAAAAATTCCGAGGAACTGGTTTACTCAGAGGGCACTTTACTTAGGAGATATTTGTTGAAGTTAAATCTATGAAGAAAAAAATATAAGTTGATATTTGTTGAAGCTAACTATAAAAAGAAAAAAATATATAAGTCCCAAGAATACTTTAAAATTTTTTTAAATTTTAATTAATTAATTAATTAATTTTGAGACAGTCTTACTCTGTGCCCCGGCTAGAATGCCACTGCCCCTCTGCCTCCATGGCTAAAGTGATCTTCCCACCTGAGCCTTCCTGAGTAACTGGGACTGCAAGCACACACCACCATGCCCAGCAATTTTTTTTTTTTTTTTTTTTTAGTTTTGTAGAGAAAGAGTCTCATTACATTGCCCAGGCTGGTCTCAAACTCCTGGCTCAAGCAATCCTCCTGCCTTGGCCTCCCAAAGTGCTGGGATTACAGGCACCAGCCACCACACCTGGTCAGGAATACATTTTAATGGAGAAAATAAGAGTAAATGAGCATGTGGTACCAAAAATCAGTATCTAAGACAGTCTTTAAACTAGTATTTCCAATAAATATAGCAGATTAACCAGACTATACTGTCCTAGAAAAACAATAATAAAATTAACATTCTTTACTTCTTACCTTGCATAAATTATTCTAGGGAAATTTAATGCCTACCCTAGAGCAGTGTTCTGTTTCCAAATAGTTGATTGCTGTGTTTTTAAACTTTTGTTTTGAGTTGGTTTTCATGTCAAACATGATTATCTAGTTTCCTAATTTGTATATAGCACAAATTCCTAGCAAATCCTGTAGCTCAATATTCATTGATTTGGACTTTTAGCTTATGTAGCTAAACACGTTTTTGGAAAGACTGTGAAGATCAGCACGAAGACTCAGAGTTCAAATGAAGTGTGGGATGAATGAAAATCATGCAGTAGACTGAATGACATTCAACATGTTCTATTTCTAGTTATTTATAGCATCATTTTTATGTGAGTGCTTTCCTATGAGAATCGTTTCTAGTGAATTGTGAGAGTGTTATTAGTAAAGATAAAAGAGAATTGTAAATTCTTGAACACATATGTATATATACATATGTGTATATATGCACACATATATGTGTGTGCACACACACACATATATGTGTAGATCTCATTAAACTTAAACTATTCAAGGGTGTTTTAAGGATTACACATTTATCCTACCATTAAATGTGTAACTTTAAATATGTGATTGATTAATAAAACTGTGAAAGAGCCTTTTAGTACTTGCAAGATGAATATGATTAATTCTTCTGGAAGTAGGTGCCATTGTGTAATACTTCCACTTAGGAATAAAGGAATAAAAAATACAGCTCTTTATCTTAAAATGGAATGATGCTAATTTCATTACTGTTTCTATTCAATTTATACAGCTCAAAATCACCCTCAATATTCTGAAATAATTTCCATAGTGGATATGTCCTTCAACTGGAAGAACTAATGTATGCCAATTTAGTGTTGGTAGAACTTTAAAATTCTCTGGCAAATTTATATAGAAACAAATAATATTTTAGACCTATTTTTGGTTATTCTTTTGAAGTAACTCAACATTTGGTTGAGTTGCATGAGGAGATCTGCTGTGGTTTAACATTAACAATGGGAAGAAGGGGAATAAAAATATCATGGCAGAAACCAGCCTGGAAACTCTTTCATGTTGTAAATGGCGTATGGCATTGTCTTTTGCTTCATTATGTGAAGTTTGCAGGCTTAACTTTGAAAAGTAGATATTAACTTTTCAAAAGTAAATAATAAAACCAAAACATACACACAATTTTAACAATGTAATTTTGTTTGCCTCGATTAAACCTGGAGCATATCTGCTGCTCATGATTGAAAGAAGCCATTTTGTGACTTTATTAGAACAGGTTGTTTTAATATTTTCTATTTCCTTTTATTCTCATTCCCTTCTCCCGTCTCCACATAGTCAATACTCCTAATGTATCTGATGTGTGACTTTTTCACTGTATGTCTGAAATATTTTATACAGTTGTCACTGTTAGATTTCTAAAATCAACTAAGCTAAATCTCTACTTTACTTTTTCAATAATATTATTCTTTATCTTCTAAAAAGTAGTGTGTTCTGACCTTTTGTCTTACATTTTTAAAATAGAAAAATGTGGAATATACTAACAAGATAAAGCATCACAGAAAAATAAATGATACATAAGTCCACTGTCTTAAGATGGCTAATTAACATATTGGCTTACTTCCTTTCAACTTTAAAAAATGGCTCTTTAAAAATAAAATTTAGTTCTTATTTTACAACCAATTTTGTGATTTTTTTCTCCATGTACATTATAATATTAGCATTTCATTTAAGATCTTTTAACATAATACAATTTTTTTTTTTTTTTTTTTTTAAGAAACAGAGTCACCCTCTATAACCCAGGCTGGAGGCAGCTTCGCCATGATGGCTCACTGTAGCTTTGAACTTCTGGGCTCAAGTGATGCACCCTCTTAGCCTCCTGAGTAGTTAGGACTGCAGGCATGCATCACCATGCCTGATTAATTTTTAAATATTTTGTAGAGAGAGGGTCCCACTGTGTTCACAAGACTGGCCTCGAACTCCTGGCCTGAAGTAGTCCTCCCACTTCAACTTCTCGAAGTGCTGGGATTACAGGCATGAGCCATGGCACCTGACCTTAAACATAATTGTGTTGGCTGTATTATATTCCATTATACAGATGTATTTAATCATCTGGTTAATGTTAGATTTTGTTTCCCACATTTGTTATCTTCTTATAATATTGTATTAAACATTTTGTACATAAATATTGGTCTTTTATTTATTCCTTATGAATTTTTAGATGTAGAAACACTGGCTTTTGAAGTACATTGCCAAGGTCTTTTCAGAAAGGCTCTATCAGTTGTCATTCTCACCAGCAGTGTGTGAGAGTGCTCATATTGTTAAGCTCTTGCAAATATTGACTATTATCTTTATTGCTTATTTGGTGAGTTAAAATAATGTAGCATCACATTTTTACTAATTTTGCATTTTTCTTAATACAGTTGAACATTTTTTTGAAATGTTAATGCAATTCTTTAAAAATTTTTCATCCATTATCCTTGTTTATTTATCAGTGTGGATTCAGTGTTTTTCTTATGTAAGTATAGGATTTTGTTGTATTTGCAAAGTTTTTAAAATTTTGTTCAGATTTAGTTCAATTTTTGCATTTTTATTTACTTAATGTTGCAAAGTTTAAAATATTGAGTTATTAAAAATTTTCAAATTTTTCCATTATTTAGATTTATTTTAGAAAATTCTTTTTCTTAAGAGATTAAAGTGTATATTCAGTTACTAAATATAATTCTTTGACCTATGTATAATTTGTACTTATTAAGTATCTAAATTGTGTATTTTTCAAAACCCAAGTATCTCAGCTTTCTCTCTCCTTAGGGTATGATTTATGATGCCTTCTCTGTTGCAGCTGAGATCCATTTGGGTTTTTCTGTTCCTTTGATCTGTCTATTTATACATTTTTCAGCACTATACTTATTTAATTAAATTTTTGTATGTGTCAGTTACATCATATATATCTGATGGGTCTTGCCCTGAAATTTTGAACTTTGGAAACTTTTCCCATAGATTTGCCCTCGGTTCTGGGGATTATTTGGCTTTAGGACACCTCGCGGCTTCTCTCTCAGCACTTTCATTGTGCACCATCCAAGGGCAACAGCCTCTGATCAAGTTACTTTAGTAGCTAGAGAATTCTTGGCTGTTAATAAGGAAAGCAAAATGGGAGCGAGAGACAGGGACGAGGGATGAGAATTTACCTAATGGGTACAATGCACACTATTTGGGTGATGGGTACACTAAAAGCCCAGACTTTACCACTGTGCAAGGTATCCATGTAACAAAACTGTACGTATATCCCCTAAATCTATAAAAATAAAAATTAAAAATAAGAAAAGTGAGGAAAAGAATCAGCAAAGCAGCTGCCAGTGACTACAGCACAAGAAGATGAAATCATGGACAGGCCCAGAGAAAGGCCCAACTCTTACTTATAGGTGACCCTCTGATCCCCATGTGAGGAATTAATGGGGAAAAAATTCCTTACAGAGCCACATATGGCCCAGGATCTGGTGAGGAAGGAAAGGAAACAATGGGGAAATATCCACATAAACCGTGAGAGCATTCTGTGAGTAACTGTTATGAAAATTCAAGAGAATGATAGAACTGTCTTCACTGATTAAAAGTTTCAGATAAACTTGAATAATCTAAACCTTTAATGCAATGTAAACTCTTTGAGAGTAGTTTAGTAAATTATATGATATTGTAGCCAACTAGATGTGAGATGAAAAATAAGATGATTTAAATTCCAAGTAGAATTACATTTTGGAAAATAGTTTGGAATGAGACTTACATAAATGATTGTGGCAGTGCACTCTTTCATACATTGTGCTCCTAAAAAGGAGGCAAGCAGAAAGAGGGCTCAACATATGGCAGTCTCTTCACGTACAAACAAGAAGAAGTAGAAATTTAACTGGCACAAAATGTCTAAAGGTAGAAAAAAATGTCTAAAGGTAGAAAAATTCTTTGGAGGAGAATACTGATTACTGCCGGCCATCTATGTAGGGGCTTTACTTGAGGACAAGCGCTATGATTTCCCCAAAGTAGGGGCCAAGGGAAGCCCACGTTGTCAATGAGTAATTCTTGCTTATACCAGGGTGTTTCTCACCCAGAAGTCATCATCCTGCCTTTGAAGACTCTTTTATCTCTTTGCCATCTCCTGTCTTTATCCTAAAACGGAAAGAGGCTATAGAAATAATACACATATCTACATGTATATCTATGTATATTTATATATATCTACATAGGTATATCTACATATATCTACCAACTTCTCACCCCTCATAAAACCCAGCCAGCAGAATACTGAGCAAATAAACATGGCCGGAACTTTTAGAGTTCATTTAGTTTAATTTTTCTAGCACTCCTAATTATCTAGAAAGGATTTTACCGTTACCTTGAAAATCATCTTAGTACTTCCTATTTACCATAAGGCAGAAGGTTAAAGGGAAGCACGTATGCAGCCTCCTGATGCCACGAAGTATACACACACAACCTCATATTTTTCCTGCCAATAAAATAGAAATATTTTTTAATTTTGCTTGTATAGCAAGCAGTTCTCCCACTACTTTAAACCAAAGGCTGTTGTTGGTTAGCGGTGATTTTATTTATGCACATAATTAATTATGGTTCTTTCTAGCAGATGGTTGTCTCAGATAATGGTTCATAGTAAACCTTTTTCACAATCATATTATTAGATTACAGAACTGGTGGCCAGTACCACCACAGGATGCTGGAAGTTAGTTTTAAACAACTGTTATCATTAACTAGAACAAGATAGTTCGGGCAATGATTTTTTTAATCTACATTTTGAGGCTTCGATCTTTTTAATCATGGACAGTCTTGAGACATTCTGTCCTACAGTTCTCTCAGTAACAGAGGCCATTGTGCAATGACCTTATTGTGGTGTGTACCAAATGAGGGTGATTCTTGCCACCCTCATTGCTATTGATTAGTGCATAACAATCAATTATCATTGCATAATAAGTTGGCATAATACCAGTGTTAGAGGTACATGACTCCGAAGTAAAAATACTAATATCTCAAGGTGGTTTCATATAATCTTCTTCTTTGTTTTTTAAAAAATATTTTCAACTTTTATTTTAGATTTTGGGGGGGTGCATGTGCAGGTTTGTTACATGGGTATATTGAGTGAAGCTGAGGTTTGGAGTATGAATTATCACATCACCCAGGTAGTGAGCATAGTACCCAATGGTTAGTTTTTCACCCCTTGTCCCCTCCCTCCCTCCTGCATCTAGTAGTCCCCAATGTCTATTTTTGCCATCTTTATACCTGTGAGTACCTAGTGTTTAATTCCCACTTATAAGTGAAAACGTGGTACTTGGTTTTCTATTCCTGGATTAATTTGCTTAGGATGATGGCCTCCAGCTTCATCCATGTTGCTGCAAAGGACATGATTTTGTTCTTTTTTTATGACTGTATAGTATTCCATGGTATATATGTACCACATTTTCTTAATCCAATGATCTTAATCTAGGTATCTTGATGGATACCTAGATTGACTCCATGTCTTTATTATGGTGAATAGCGCTTCGATCAACATATGAATGCATGTGTTTTTTTGGTATAATGATTTATTTTCCTTTGGGTATATACCCAGTAAGGGGATTGCTGGGTTGAATGGTAGTTCTTTTTAAATATTTTAATGGTAATCCTTTGAGAAATCCCCAAACTGCTTTTCACAGTGGCTGAACTAATTTACATTTCACCAGTAATGTATAAACATTTCCTGTTCTCTACAGCCTCGCCAGCATCTGTTTTATAAACCCTTTATAAAGAGCCAAAGACACTGTATCAATAGCAGTACATTTCCTTGTGTTAGAATTAGTTCATTTTAGTTCATCAAGCACTTATTATTGGTTAGCCCAATACTGTCCCTGGTGATGGAGACCCAGAGAGGAATCCATAAAATGTAGGCCTTGTAATTCAGTGATTCTCAAACTTTAGTGTGCATAAGAATCATCTGGGGGGCTTATTAAAAAATGTATATTTCTGGTCTTTGTCCCCATAGATACTAATTCAGACAGTCTAAGAAGAGGCTTGTAGTCTATATTTTAATAAAATATTAGAGGTAATTCTGGTATAGACACTTCTCAGGCATCTTTTAATGAATGTTAAAGGAAGAACATAGACTTTGGGATCTGATTGATCAGGTACTGGCTTCCCATTTATTAACTGTGTGATCACATATAAGTTCCTAGTTCCTAAACTCACTTAATTTCAGTTTCCTTATTAGTAAAATTCCTAATGCACAATTATTGAGAGTAGTGGATGAGAAAGTATATAAAAAGTACTTTGCAAAGGGTCTTGTCTGGAATAGAAACTCACTAAGTGGATGTCTTTGCTAGGATTAACAAGCAAATCTAGACCAGCTTTACTACTTTTGTGGAATCCAGTTGGGAAATGTTCAAAGTGAGAATCTGGGGATAATTGAGGAATGTAGGAGAAATTGACTTATGATGAAAGGCAGGAATAATTTAGCATTTGCAAATGCATAAAGTTAAAAGATTTAGAGTGGTCATGGAAAGAGACTTAGCTGAAGGGCATAAAGAAAGCACTGGTGACCAAAATGCAATAGAGGATTACATTTCTGATGCCACTAGACAAAGAAAAAGGAAATTGCAACAGTCTTCTTAATAAAAAGCAGGAAAGATTACTGGTCACTACAGTATGTTGTAAAGAACATTTTTAGAAATTTAAATTCATTTTAATAATACCATTTCAGTAAGAGCAAAAAAATTATTCTCTTGCTCTTTGTTGATATACAAAAGAGAGAGAGAAAAAAAAGAAAAACACCCTGGGAACATTGTCTCCAAAGAGCAAATAAACAAAAAAAAAAATAAGGACTTGGTAAAGAATAGAGACCATCAAATAAGAGGTCCAGATCCTGAGATATAAATATTTTCAAAAGCCATGTATTTGTACTGAAAATGATGAACTATATCTATTTATCAAAACATTTTAGTGGCCTTATGAAGTAAAAAATAATGTTATTTCACTGTACTAGTTTTGATTTCATTTATACTCAACATTTTTATGTAATATGGTACATATGAAGCAATAAAGGTAAATGCAAAATCAAGTGAATTTACTGGAAAATGTTTTATTTTTATAAATTGCTTATTCAAATGTTGGACCCCAGTGTCAAGGGCTAATGTTGAAACAGTAAAACCCATATGACCCTAACAAGTCTAGGGAGCTTTAAGTTATGCACAAATAGCCAGTGAGCCAAAGACTATCAAAGCCAATCAGAAAGCCTCCACACAGGTCTTTCCCCAAATCCTGCCTCACACAAAATTCTATCTTATCAGAACAGTCCGCAATCAAAGACTTTCTTAAGACTTCTTCCATTCGCCTCACAAAACCCCCTCTTCTTTCCAACCCTTTTTGGTGTACCAGAACCAAAGTGACAGTAGCTGGCTTTCCTATCAGTGTGAGCTCTGCATAAATGGCCTTTGATTAATTCTGTATGCAGTTGTCATCCTTTTGACAATTTGAATAAGGCTTAATTTTAAATCACAACTTAGTCAGGGCCATACTGTGATAGTATTTTGCTTGAGATCACAAAACCTGTGTGGCAGTACTATCCCTAGAGACATGTATAAGTATGTCACAAAAGGTGTACACATGTTCTTTCAGCAAGTGACTTCCCCCATTAAAAACAGAATAAACAACTTTTCACTCTTTTAGAAAATAGAACTACAGAGAACATCTCCATTTGGGAGACTTGGTTTGTTTTGCAGGGCTGTGTCAGAACTTCACTGAATCCTAGGTTGTTTCCAAGCTCACTGTGACCTGAGTCTTGCCAACTCCTTCCCTCAGATTATGGTCCTTTCCCTCGTAACTTTTTTGTGAGCAAGTCTTAGTATAAGAGGAATGGTATAATTAAATGAAGAGTAAAGCAGGAATCAAATAACAATTTGTGAAGAAGTAGATTAATATTTTTCTGAGTCATTATAATGCTTTATAAATATTTATTTAAATAAATACTTTGGTTATTAATAAGGATATACATCTTTTATTCTAAAATTAAGCTAATTTCTTCCAGTGATTACAATATGAAACAGGTAGGAGGTGAGATGGAGGGCACTTGCAGAGCCAACCTTACCTATGTTGGTCAATGAACCAACATGAGATATTTAATGCAGTTTGGTAGATTCCTAAAAGTCTACTCTCCCAGAATTTCTCCCACACTAAATGGCTAGGATGACTAAAACACTGGAGAAATAGACTT